TACTGTAAATCCTAAAGTCTATGATTGAACTTGACAAATATTGCCTTTAATATGAGAGAGTTCTTGACATGTCCTGAGATATTTATGGGTACTTAATGTCTTTTTCTAGGGCCTTGGGATGATTTATCAAATTAAGATACCCTTCAATATTATATCTTTCTTCGCCATTTAGTATTACAGGGGAAAATAAGTCACAAGTCTTTAGTCTCACAGTCAGCCTCAATGGAGCGTGAAAATTTATTACTGACGTCATCCCATGAAAGACAACGGCACCCTAACTGGAGTGTTTAACTGAAGCAACGATATTAAAAATAGAGAGGCTAAGCAATGAACGAGTCCCTTCGGTGTGACGAAGGGTCAAGAAGTCTTCAGAGATGAAAAAGCAGTGACATGAAGTTTCCCGGAGTTGTTGAGGGATCAAGAAGGAAACATCATAAGGTGGCTTATCCACCATGTAGTGCGGGTTTCTGGTTTGTAATCAGACCTTCATCTCAAGCTTGATTGCACAGGGTTTAGCAGCTGAAAACAGCAAATCAGCCTCCAGTGCCTGACGCAATGCGCTGCCTTGGAAGAGCAGTTAGGGAAGCAAAGGGGGTCTTTCCTTTCCTACTCAAGTACGGTACCTCTTGGGAAGACATGGAGCATGTTGTCAGCAAGGTCTCCATCGTTGCGAAAGACATGAAATACACATATCACCCTCGCTCTATGGGTTTGGCGACTGCACTCCAATTTTGGGGGAGCAATCAGGATAAGCCCTGAAAGTGGGAATGAGGAACCTAATTCAAAGTGGGATGGCAGTGACAGTCTTACCAAGGGAGGAGGAAACTGCTTGACCATACAACAATAATTAAACCTGAGTGGTCAGTATTAGACATACGCAAATCCTAAATAGCATATGAAGATTTAAAAATTTAACAAGCTATATAAAATAGAGAAATAATATTTTCTAGGCAAGAAATAATTTTTTCTTAACAGGAGAATAAGATTTTTTTCAAGGCGTTTGATTTATTTTCCTAATGTTAAAATAAAATTTGACACAATTATGCTCAGCTTGAATAAGAATTACAAGAAAAGATTCTGATGTTAAATATTTAGAGGGTACTGCATGTATTGAAAAGGAGTTTTGATAAGGACAGCAAATGTTATAAACATGGTAAATCTTTTCAAAACTTTGTACTTTGTATTTTTAGGGGATGTGTTTCTACAATCTGAGGAAAATACTACAATTCTAATATATTTTAAAAGACTCTAATAAGATAGTAAAACACCAGAGCCATTTCATATATGCTCAGGAATTGCCTGAACGAGAACACTATGATCTAAAAGAGGATGCCTGCTTCTCTTACTTGCCAAGACGCACAGAAAGATGTTTCCATGGTCTGCTCTACCACCTTTGTGAAGGCAGAAATATCTTTCTTCTTTTTAGTCAACGTTTCACTGCTTTATGTACGACTGTTCTTATAAAATGGAGATAAGGTCTGTCTCTGAAATAACGAGCTATGTGGTTTCTGGAAAGATACATTTTAACACCTTATAATCTCATAATTTGCTTAGCCACATCTAGAAATATGACTTGGGTTTTAAAAGCTATTTTTATGTTTTCATTTAGTACTCCAATACTCCATCTACCAAATGACATTTTCCATTTTCCATGGATCATAAAGTAAAGACACTTTTTTATAATGCTAGTTCAGGATCAGTGCTGGTAGAGAATGGGTTGCGGCCTATTTCATCTAGGTTTTATTTTCTCTATGAGAACTTCTGGGCACTCAGATTTTCCTCAGAGTTTGTAGATGAGGTCCTCAGTTTACACTCCTTAGGGAACAGTCGTGACTCCACAAACCACTTAAGATTCCTCACCTCTATTCAACATTCCCACACACCGACAGTAGCTTGGACTTTAAAGTGAATCACGTAAAAAATTAAAATATAGAGGAAAATCAGTTTCAACACAACTTAAAAGGCTCTTTCTTAAAAATGCTGTATTCTCTAATTATGTGATGGGAAGTTTTTACTTTGAATATTTAAATTGCCTGGGGGGCATCAGGACACATATACAATATTGGCTTGGGTAATTCCAAATCAGAAATAAACTGGAAGATTACAAGAAATTAAAATGTCACTTTTCCAACCAACATGTGAATCATTTTTATTATCTAGAATATTACTCCACTAGCATAGAATGGTCTTATAAAATTGAAAATCTGTGAGAGTTGGTACCACTTTTTTATTTCATCTCATTTCAGTTTCTTATAAAACGCACTGATGAGCCCGACTGCACAAACATGAGATTTGCTTATTCATGATCCTGCCTTGTAGTAAACAATTTCCACAATCCAAACAAAGCAGTATTAATCCCTTTAGGAAAATGTGTTCATAAATGCTAGTGTCTGGGTTTTATTCCACAATAAAGTTATAAAATTGTATGATAAACAATTTTGAAATCCTCTATGTTTAATACCAATTATTTCATCTTACTTTAATTATTCAGTACTGAGGTTTGAGCCTATGGCCTTTCATATATCAGGGGGTGCTTTCTTACTGAGCTATCCACAGTCTTCCGTTCAGTCCTCTTTGTGAGACAGGGTCTCAGTACGCTGTCTTGACTCTACTTGAACTCACTAAAGCCCAGTGAGGCCCAGAGATTACAGTCCTCCTGTCTCCACCTGAGTTGCTAGGAATACACATTGCAATACCACCAGGCTCAACTGGACACTTTTATACATGACTTTAATATATCCTTTAAAAGATCACAATGCTAAATTTACCATTATAGGACAATTGAAGTCAAATTACTTATCTCTTCATTATTCTCTGTAACAACAATGTGGAAAATGAAATATGTAATGTCTTAAAATGATTACTAGGCAAAGATATCTATACTTAATGCTGTACTCCCATACTGCCCAAGCACTTATACTGAAAAACAGCTATCTTTTTCATGAAGCCAATGAAAGTAAGTTACAAGAACTTCCTCCCAGTAAAGTCTTCAAAACATCCCATAAAGAGAACCTGTGATGTTTTCTTGGATTGAAGATCAAATGATAGTTCAACTCCACTTGAAACAGGAGCCTGTGATCATAAACGTACCTTGTCCTTGGGTTACGCCATAAAATTCAGCTGCTATCCTGGCGGCCTCTTTTCGGTTGCCTTTCACGATGTAGAAATGACTAAGGATGGCAAGGCTGATTTTCACAAAAAGTTTAAAACAGAAAAGGGAGAGTATCGTAAAATAGACATTGGATAGCTGTTGAGCAAACGGCCGGCTTTCTTCTAACAGCGACATTGCTGCAGAGGAATCTGCCGCGGTGCCAAGCCCCAGCCGAGTCTCAACTGTGCCTGGCTCTGTTCCGGGGTACTCTTGAACAGCTGGTCCTCAGGAAAGAAAATATCAACTGGTAATGATGTCTAAGGCTCAAATTATTTATACTGGCCATAAAAGTTCTTCGCCAGCTCCTATTGGTCTGACAATATTCCATGGAAGCAACCAAATCACGTTTCGCAAGCCTCCTGACTTTCCATTCTCCATATAAAATGATACACCCTCTTTCTGTTCCTGGATGTAGGAGTCAAATATTGAAATAAATAATGCCGATGATTTCCTTTTTTGGTATCTAATGATCAAGAACAACTGGAGGACAGAGGCAGGGCTCAGAAACGGCACCTGGCACCAAGCCTGGAGACCTGGAGTTCCACCACTCGGACCCACACAGTGGAAGGAGGGTACCAACTTCCATTCGTTCTCTGACCTGCTTGCATGTGCTGTTGTGTGTGTGTGTGTGTGTGTGTGTGTATACGCCCGCACGCGTGCACATGCACTCACAAAAATAAATAACTTAAAAAAGAAAATTGAATATTTTATGTATTTTATACACATGGTTTATGTAATAATACTGAAGAGAAATTAATTGTTCTAACTCAAGAGTTTAAAATTTGTTGGCCATGAACTAAATCATCAGCTAGTCCACAAATGGGACCTGGATGAGGACCCATTGAAGTAAATGATTACATTGATTTTGTTACACAATAGTTTATGTTTTTATATAAATTAGGCTATCCTGTCATCTATTAATAGACTTAAACTGTTGGTGTCACACTTTCAAACACCTATTGGCTGTTTTCTATATGCTGAGCCCAAGACCTAACAGTGCCTGCCACTAGGGCAGCAAAGTTTCAAAGGCAAAATGGAAGAACTTAGACAAATAAAAGACAAAGCAGCAAAATGTCTAATTCCAGCAGGAAATGAGAAGGCTTCCTGGGGATGGGGGAATGATACACAAAAGAATTACTGAACAAATATAACTGTTTCACAAAAAAAAAACTGCAAAAGCAAACCAACTAAACTTAGTCACAGGTCTAGTTATGATCAACCTAAAATGTACTTTCTAGACCTATACTCTTGAATAACTAAGATCAATTTGGGAATGAAATATATGTGTATCTTATGTATATATGAGCAGTCTTATGTATTTCCAAAAATAAATGATAATTTAAAAGAGAAATTGAATCAATTATTTAGAAAAATGATGAACAGGGACTTTGTTTTCATAAATTCAATTTCCTTTAATTTCCTTTTGAAGTAATACTTTCCCTTGCTAACATCTGAGCATTTGAGTAAAAAAAAAAAGACACTAATACAAAATATTGTGATATATGTTTATGTCACCAGATTTAGGGTCTGCTTGTTTTAGATTATGTCTTAATTCTGTTAGGGTTCAAAATAACAAAACATAAGCAAACAACAGCGGTTCTGGCGGAAGCAAGGATCTTATCTGTGATGTGGTACACTGAGAAGCGTGACTTGTCGTTTTAATGTGTCTCTTATCAAGACAGTCTTGACTCTCACCAAATAGTCCTAAGAGAACGGAGACATGGCGGTTGCATACATGTGCCATCTGGGACACAGCGCCCACGACTGTTGAAGCACTGAGGACAGACAGAGTGACCACATGGTCCTCTCTACCCCTGATGTGGAAACTGTGTCAAGAGAGTGAACTCACCGGAATTATGTTCTGGTGAGTCTTCTGGCTGGCATGGCGAGGTCTGAGCACACACTGGAGAGGAGCCCATGAACAGCTGGCCCATCACAATGCTCTGAGTCATGGAGTGACTTCCCCTCCAGTGCTCTGGAATCAGAAATAAACCTGCCTTAGTCACATCTAAGTGCCTGTCTAAGGTTTCGGCCCTTTCTCTTACCAGTAAATGCTCTTATAAATAATCCCCACACAGCAGCTACTCAGTAGCCTAGATTCCTGGGGGCTAAGAAACACTTCCATTCACTATGGCTGAAGTCATCAGCCCAGCAGGCTTCAATCCCTCCTGCTTTGCTAGTAGAAACACATTACCACACGATACTTAAAATTTTATTTGCAGATGTCAAATTTGGTTTTTTTTATAAATTCGTTCATTCTCACCTCTTTGTTTTATGAAGGTTAACACCCGCTCATAATAAAACTTGCCACCTGCTAGCTTCTTAATTGGAAGGCCTAATAAAATAACGTAGTAAATGATCTGAGAAATACAAATCAGATGCTAATTTCCATATAAAAGACTCCAAAACATCATCTTAAATGATTGGCAATATATAAAAAAAATGTATAAAATTTGTACATCTATTTTCTTGGCTTAGAATTTTCTTTCTCTTTTTTCTGAATCAAAGAAAATTTTTGCTGTTTCTTTTTTTAATATGTTCTTGAGAATTTAATATATGAGTACTTCATATCATTTCCATCTCACTGTCTCCCATGCATTTAAGTCTAGAGAAGCAGACGGCAGGATTCAGGCACCATAAAGTAGAAAATAGAAAAACTTGGAGGGGCTCTATCTGGAGAGAAGAAAGGGAAATACAGAGAGCGAGGGAAGGAGAATGGATAAAGTACAAAAAGGATGTTGAAAAAGCCATAGGGAATCATATTACTTTATTTACTTAAAAGTACACACACACACACATTAATTGAAATTAGTCAATTGTGGTCATAATGCACATTGTCCCTCACAAGGGTCACAAACTACTAGTATCTGGCATGGGAAACCTCAAAGTAGTCCAAGAGATCCCTAAAACAATAAAGAATTTGACCATCGCCCTTGGTTGCCTCCAAGAACTTAAAGGTAAGACCCAGTTGTTGACATCATGCACTTTGGACCCAGGACTTTGAAGATTTGAACTGGATGTGACCTGGAAGCCTCCTCCCTGAAGACCAGCTCCTATAGAATCCAAAGGTGCTATGCAAGCCTCCAACGGAGCAAAAGCAACAACAGTCCTACCCATTGCACAGCCTATAAGCACATAACGACAAACAGGACAAGACACTCACAAGGGCGCAGTGGTGGCACTTAGGTCTTAGGAGTAAGCAGAAGCAGAAGTCTAATTGGAACTAAGGCCTTCTCAACAAGAGAGAACTCATACCGTTATTCTTTGTGATCCTAGCTGTCCCCCTGTGGCTGGGGAGGTCATGGATCCTAGAGAGAACTTACTGTGGCTACCTTCCCAAATCAGTGTAATTACTTACTGAATTCCAAATACTTGTCCTTTCAGGCACAGAAAAGTGTAGTTTTCATCCTTCATCATTTTTTTTTTTTTTTTTTTTGGTCACAGACAGAAACCATCACATAAATCCCCAACTGGTCAAAATGTGGAGAATCAGTGACTGTGGGATGCCCCACTTTAAAACAAACTCCCATCACCTAGGGCTCATAGAACACTGAAGGAGGAAAGGAAGTGGAAAGACTCTAAAAGCCTGATGTCTTGTGTATATAACAGGGGAGCTGTACTCATGAAATCTTAATAATGTGACCAACTAAACAAGACCTGTGTAACAACACCAGCTGACACTCCTTTGTGGACAGTGAAATTTCCTAAGGCCCCACCCCTTAGATGAAGAAGTACAGGTAATTAATGGCCCCTAGAGACAGGGAATCTGCCTTCTCCAAGGACAAATCCCCTGATGGTACGCAATCCTAAGCGATCAGCCTAACCACGAACACGTGGGCAGAGCAACACTAAGGACGAATCCCCTGATGGTATGCAATCCTAAGTGATCAGCCTAACCACGAACACATGGGAAGAGCAAACACTAAATGGATGCAGAAGGCTATATTTATACAGACGCATGAACACATACACATATGCAATAATAATTTCATAAATAATAGATTTAAGAGTGATTGGGAGTACAGGAGGCGTTGGAGGAGAGAGAACGAAGTGGAAATGATATAAACGCAGTTACTCTTCTGTGAAATTCTCAAGAAATTGGGAAATAGATTAAAATAATCTGACATATATAATTGGAGCTTTCAGAATGACAAAGTCTTTTCAGTCTATTTTGTATGTTCACCATATTTATGCCTCTATAGCCTCTCTTTCTTCTTCCTTCCCTCCCCCTTACCATAAGACACAGAATCTAGAAGTGAGAGAAAACATACAATATTTGTCTTCTGAATCAGGCTTGTTTTGCTTAAGGTGGTAATGAGCTCATTTATATGCATTCACTAGTTTTAAAGTACACTATGTCCCTTTATTTTCTGGCAGAAATATACAGGCTCTTAATGAATCTATAATATTGAGTTTCAAAATAAAAGAAAAATGACAAGAACATATTTCAAAACTGAGGAGCTGCTAATGCTCAGCTCCACTAATTCTAGGCATCTTTCCAGTCCTAGAACAGGGACGCTGGAGAGAACTCATATACAGTGAGTGTAAAGGCTTGTCATGGCTGAAACAAAATGAAAGAAAAAGAAATCACACAAGTTCTTACTGGGGATATTGTACATCACTGTTAAGACTTAAAACACCATTAGAATATAAGCCTTTTCTTTCAGTTTTGTGAAACTTCATGAGAAAAAAAATAAATATACCGAAGACTTAGATATTTAGAGTGGAGAAGAGTTTGAAATAAGTACAAAAATGTTTATACATGAGCTTCTTAAAGGAAATTAGTAAATCAATTTTGCCTTATCTTCATTTAGTAAATCCTGTTTATCCTTACCCCAAAGTTGCTCTCATAAGAAAGACATTTTATAAAAGCAAGTCAAGGCACTTCGTCATAGTTCTTTATAAAGTCATAGACATTATGATGCGATGTCTCTGTCATAAACAAACATTTTCAAAGAAGAGCTATGGACGCCAAATGTGCTAGGTTTTTATTAATTATTCTTTTTTGAATTTACTAAATTCTTTTTTAAATTAATTATTTATTTATTATGTATACAATATTCTGTTTGTGTGTCTGCCTGTAGGCCAGAAGAGGGCATCAGATCTCATTTCAGATGATTGTGAGCCACCATGTGGTTGCTGGAAATTGAACTCAGGACCTTTGGAAAAGCAGGCAATGCTCTTAATCACTAAGCCATCTCTCCAGGCCAAATTTACTAAATTCTTTATAAAAAACAGATTTGTTTTCAGATAATATATTCTGGCTACAGTTTCTCCTCCCACAGCTCCCCGGAGATCCTCCTGTCTTCTTTTCCATTAACTACTGATAAAAGATGTATTCGAATTAGGATTAAAATTCACATAGTACTTGTTACTTAAATTTTTTGGTGAGTAAAATTTGGGTGAGAACCATTCTATTTTGTTTGACTGTAGGATTTGGGAGTAAACGTGTTGGGTTTCTAGATCAATTACCAGAATAATGGACCAAAACAATAATCTGTTATTGTTATGATAGTTCACACAAATATTTTATCACAAGATTATTATTAATTTAGGTTGCATCCAGGCCCCCAGATGAAAGTCATTGGTTTTCTCTGAAACATAGACTAGATTCTATAAAAACTTTGAGTTATATCAAACTCACATATTTGATATCTAATAGAATTTTCCTTATGTTCTCATCTTTTATGTGTGGCCCAAGAAAATATGACTGAAAGTTAGCAGCTATGCATATTCAAAAGTTTAAAATATATGATATCTTTATTATAAGTATATATTAATAAGTAATCTATGCTAAATACTTTTCTAAATACTTTATTTTGCTTTTCAACTTCTTCTTTGGCTTACGAGTCCAGAATTTCTCTCAGGGATAATATCTCACTCAACTTGGTTCCCTTCACTTAATTTTCTGGCTCAAGCGAAGGACATTTGTCTAAATAAGGCCAATAAAAGTATGTTTTTGAGAATATTTCTGAAGAGTTAAAATTTTTCTTCTATTCTGCAGAAGAAGCAAAGTTGCTAGTAGCTCTTCAATAGAATAGAAAGGTTTGTGTGGGGGTCATGCCAATAAAAAGGGAAGCTGAGTCAATATTAATATAGGAAGCATCAGATTATCTTCATTGGGGAATCTTGGTATAGGTTTAAGTAAGACAGATCTAGCCAATAGTAATTTGAATTTAATAGTAACATAAAATATTAAAGTCCTCCCTGCTAATTAAATCAGATTTGAATTTGGGTTTTTTCAACTTGTAAACAAAATGTTCTGATATATTTACTGGAGTCTTTATGAAGAAGCTATGAAGTTGGGAGGAAGAAGCTTAAAAAGTGTGTGGGGGGGAGTAATTTGCAAGCTATATATCTGGAAGTGGGAGCACAAGGATTCCACGGCCATGGCCATGCCTCTGAGGCTAGTGTTCACACGTCAGCACTGAAACAGCCACTGTGTAGTTTACCCACAGGCTTCTGCTTCCCACACCTGGCGATTACAGTGAGATTCTGTGTGCACTATAAATAGCCTTGGGCTAAATACGTGTGTGCTTCAGTGGCCTGAATCCAACGGGCTTCACCTAAGCTTCTGCCATTAAGAATTTGTTCTAATTGTCACACTTTGGCTAATTACAGATAGGGGAACCTTTCCCTACCCCATGTGTTGAAGGTCAAAGAATGGAACTACATGAGGAGCGTCATGATTAGGTCATCTTCCAAGTATGCTAGGCCTGGAAATGGAATCAGAATTCTTTGACAGTTACATCAATTAATAATTATTATTTTTCCTGTGTTGAAATTAGGAGCGGCAGGGCTGCGTCCCCGGCACCCGGCCGCCCGCATGGCTAGCTTATGCCCGAAATAATTACATGGAAACTGTATTCTTTCAAACACTGCTTGGCCCATTATCTGTAGCCTCTTATTGGCTAGCTCTTACATATTGTTCTAACCCATTTCTAATATTCTGTGTAGCCCACGAGCTGGCTTACCAGGGAGGATCTTAACCTGCGTCTGTCTGGAGC